ATTATAAATAATTTGCTTGTATTGTTAATGTTATTAAATATCTTTTACTTTATTGTGTTTTTTTTTTTTGTTTATATGAAAACATATCATATTATGATTATAAATAAATTAATATTAATAATTAAAAATATAATTTTTAAAAAAATTTACCAATATCTTAGCATTGATACTGATGTATTTGATCGTTAGAATATTTCAGGTGTTACTAACAATCACCAAAATATAATAAAAAAATTAAAACATATAAGTCTATATTGACAATCTCTAATCGTCAATAAAGGTAAGAAAATTAAAGCATATAATTCTATATTGACAGTCTCTAATAGTCGGTATAGGTAAAAAAATTAAAAAAAAAAAATTAAAAAAAATACAAGTCTATACTAACGGATGCTAAGCATCGGTATAAGTAAAAAAAATTATAAGTCTATACTGACAGATATTAATCGTTGGTATAGGTCAAAAAAATTAAAACATATAAGTCTATACTGACGGGCTAGCCATCAGTATAGGTGAGAAAATTAAAATATACAAATTTATATTAACGAGCTTTAAGTGTTAGTATAGGAAAAAAATTACAAGTCTATACTGATGACCATTAACTATTGGTATAGGCAAGAAAAATTAAAACATATAAGTCTATACTAACGGGTGTTAACTGTTGGTAAAATGTATAATGATGAAACACACAACAGATACTATACCAATAGATATATATTTACTGACGGTCTTAAACCATAGGTATATCTCTATAAGCTATTTTGACACCTTAAAAATAGTCAGTATAGGTCTATACCGACAAAGGATATACTGACGGTTAAAAGTTCGTTAAAATACAGATTTTGATTGTTGGTATAGGGTTTATGCTGCTATACTAATAGATTTTGGGGTTTTACCAACACTTTTTTGAATGTCATTATATGTCAGATTTCTTGTAGTATGGTGTCACTTCAACAAAATGAATTGGAATCTCTTTTGTAAATGTTTATGAATAAATAAGTACATGATCATAATGGTGCTAAAAACAGTTATAAACATATGATAAAAGAATAAATAAGTATTATATATCTTTAATTCTAACACTAGGAGTTGAGGTTTAATTTGCGGATACCATCAACTTCGTTAAAATTTTAAAATATATAAATTAATTAAAGGTTTAAATTGAGAGATATATTTTTATATTCATAATATTTATTTGTGTAAAAGGATAAAGATTAAACACCAAATTTCAAACTAGTAAGGAATTGTTAGTAGTTTAGAATGTAGTACGTCCCACATTGGATAAAAAAATTTAATTGTTGATGAATAAAATTAATTTTTTATTAATTTTATTTATATTTTAAATAATTATATTTAAATAAAAACAATCATATGACAAATGGTAATAACTATTTGAATACAAATATGTTATTATTCATAAATGTCATAATTATTTGAATAAAAATTTATTTTTGTTCATTCATTATAAATAAAATTTTTAGTATAACGATTTTTATTACTTTTGATTAAAATGTTTGAAATTTTGTTATATTCTAAAAGCATAATTATTTTAAAAAAAGTATTCTTCATGTTTCAAAATCAAAACATATTTTTATTATTTCTTTTCTCTTATTTATTTTTCTAAAACTATTCTTGTCAGGCATACATTTACTTGGCATGTAGGAGCTGAAACTTTTCACTTGCTCAAAGTGTTCCATAGAAGTAACTTGTGTATCCAACTATTACTTCATTAGTATCTCTTTTTCATTCGGAAGCAGAATTGCAAGTGTTTTTTCATTTTCATTTATTTTGTATTTTTGGAAGTAAATATATATTTTTGAGATGAGTATCATATTAATTAATAAATTTATAATGTAAATATTATATTAAAATTTTTAGAATTTAATTATTATATTAAATATTTTATTATAATTCAAGAACTATTCATAATATTAATCCTTAAAAAAAAAAGAGAAATATAATGGCTTTAAGTTTTGAGTGTCGAGAAAAACTATTCCGTCTAGCCTTTAATATTTGAACAGTTTTCCACTGCATGATGAGTATGTACTGTTATTACTTAATACAGATAAGTCACATGTTTACAAATACCAAGCAATAATAAAACTGATTGGTTTTAAATTAATTAATAAATAATTCCTAGTTAGCTAGGGTTGAGTATGGTGGGATCGACATCCATCGTGGACGTCGCAAAATGGATGAGAATCTTCCAGGAGCAGGATCACGTGCATGGGAATAATTGTGAGAAACGGATGCAACAAAAACCTCTTCCATTGGCAGCGTTAAAAATCAAAGGTAAAGTCAAGTACCTTATGCCCTGAGCATCGGTTTCTCGTTAATTATGTGGGATAGTGTTACGTGCTAAGTAGTAGTAACTAATAGTAGTATAATCTTTCTTCTTGACTAATTTATTAGCAGTACTCTAGTTGCTGTAGAGTGGTCCGTTGTTATTTCCTAGAAGATATTATCTTTTTAACATATATAGTCAGGATTTTGATCTCATTTTCATTGTATTATTTGACACGCATGTTGCTTAAATGGCTCCACTTAAAATGTTCAGCAAAAGACTGATGCCAAACAATATTATATATTACACATGCCAAAAATAATTAGCTAGTAAAATGATTTTGTTATTGACAATAATTACTGCATCTGATCTGATCTGATCTGATGATCAGGGTAAGTATAATGACAAGTGTAACTAACAAGCTATAATATATATGATTTTTATGTCATCAATCATATCATCAGCCATGTCAACTAACTAAATCTATATAATTTCATGAAAAATTATTAAATTTTTATTTAAATTTCAAATAGATCATTGAACTTTAATTTATCATTATAAAATCATTAAGATATATTAAGTGTATCAAATTTGATTACTCTAATAAATTTTATTTAAGTAAAATTAAAATTTTGAATTCAACCAAACAACATTTAAATTTTTTATGTAACAAAAAATCTTCTCATATTGTATAGAAAATCCAAGAAAAAAAAAAAAAACGTAAACTTAAAGCAATACACCTTTAATGAATATTTATTTTTCTTAAAGTATTACTATTTTTATTTAAATTAAAGAGTTTAATATTGATGCATGCTTGGAAAGTGTGTTCCCATCCCATGCTGATCTCAGGCGTGTATCTGGACAATAACTGAAAGGAGCAAAACTATCCCCTACGGTTTCAATCAGTTATTTATTTGAAGAAAAGACTAACAATTCGAGATTGATGCATGCATGCTTTTCCGTCTTCGTTTCTTTCAACATTAGCAAATAAATTGATACTAATATGATTTATGGGTTGTTTGTTACTATTTTTTTTTTTTTTTTTGGGGGTTACATTAGGAGGACAAAACTCTAATGCAAGTAAAAAAAATGAGAGATTTGATTCGAAATTAAATCTTTAATGTTTATTCAAGCGTCTTTAACTATTAAACCAAAAGCTTGAAAACATGATGTTTTTTACCATGCATCTAAGTTTTAGTGGCATGCTCCACCTAGACTTCAGAAATGGTTTAGTAGATTTCAAGGTTTTTCATGATTGTGGAATGAAAAAGTTGTAGTAATTTTTATGAAAAGCGCCCAATGTAGCTCTAGCAAAACAGTGGCAATTTTTCTTCAGGCTAGTAAGTGCTAACCTACCTTGCCAATCGTACAGAAATCATATCCGTAATAATAATTTTGTAAACATTGGAGAAAGCTTGGGTATGCACATCACACTTAAATTTTTTTTTAATTTACCTTTTTTAATTTTTTTTGTTTCCGTTTTTATTTTTAATTTTATTTATTCTATAAATTTTATAAGAAAAAAAAACATTAAAGATAGGATGATCTGTCTCACTGAGAATATATATAAAAATATTTATTATTATTATTTTTTTAATCTTATATTTTGTATTATATCAATAAACTTATTATTTTGATACATTAATTTACTAAATTTACATGGCACCTTATTTAATTTTTCTTTTTTTTTTTTTAGTTCTTAGTTTTTTAATTAGATAAATTTTATTAAAAAAATTTAATGAAGGTAGAGATAATAAAACAACTTATATCTTATGGGTTTTTTATTCATTTTGATCTAATATGTAATTTTTCTTTTTAAATTTGAAATTGGGATAGAGTTTTTTTTTTTTAAATTAGACCCATATTGGAGTCAATGAAAGTAGAAGTGTCAAAACAACCCGTATTAGATAGTTTTGACCCATTGATACATTAAGTATCTTTTTTAAAATCATAATCAAGTTAATGTAGAATACTTATATTTTTAAATCGAGGTCGAATTAAGGTAAGTTTAGGATACTTTATCACATCCAGCCTCATTTTGTCTTAGGATATAAATAAAAATATATATAATATTATTTATTTAATTTAATTTATATATTATTAATAAAATTATAATTTAATATATTAATTTAATAAAATACTGTTTATATATAATTAAAATATAATTTATATTAAAAAATTATATTTCATTAATGTTTATATTATTGAATTGATTTTTAATCAAATCAAATTAGATGTAAGTTATATATATATATATATATATATATATGTCGAGTCTAGATTTGGTATAAAAATAATAATTCGATATTAGATTGGAGCAGGGATGAACATAAACCTACTACTATTCGATCTATTGCTATCCCTAAGTAAAGGTTTTCACGTGACATCTTTATTTGATTCCTTTTCATTTTTTCCTTGGCCTTTTCTTTTCTTCTTTTTTTTTTTTTTAGTTTTAGTTTTATTTTTGTAAATGATCTATTTTAATATTTATTATATTTAGAAAAATAAATTTAAAAGAAAGGATGTGTATTTGATTTGTTATATAAGAATAAAATGTGTACATTATCTATAAATTAATTGATAAATTTTCATTAATCATTATTTTTATTTAAAAATTATAAACAAAATAATGTACTGATTTATTAAATTTAATATTATTAACTATAAGTAAAAAAAAAATTGCACCAGCAGCAAAGCATTGCTAGTGGTAATAATTTACAAGTGATTTTTGCTAGAGTGAATTTACACTTCAAAAAGCATTGAGCTAAAAGCTTTAACCCATTTAACCCGATCCTGTGAGAGTTTCCACTGGCTAGGAACATCAGACATGGCATGGATGTTGAACCTCTGTAAAGGGAGAAACATCACGTGGATAGAAATTTTAAAACCGAACTATATATCTCAGCATAACGACCACCAGGGCATCATTTACAATGCCGTTGAAAGTAATCAGACAGGCATACGTATAGCTTCTTGGTTATCATAGTTTGTCCTTTTTACCAAAAAAAAAAAAAAAAAGCAGAAACAAGAATAACCATTAAGTTCTGCTGTTCTCGTTTCCCATTTGGATTCTTATGAAGCAGTGTGGTGAACAGGGACGCCATAATGAAAGAGAGTTTTCAGAGTCAAAGAGTTACCATCCTTCACTTCGCCAAAGAGGACCCGAAAGGTACATTTTGAATATCAAAATGAAAATGAGAATACGCCTTCATCTAACAAATCAAATTCTGGTATGCATTCCATTCCCATGCATGAATCCTTTATACACAACTAACAACCAAAACTGCTATATCATTTCGCATTTCCTTCCACTCTTGAAACTAAAATTCTATGTAAGTTGTCATCTCCAAAATAACCCCAACTGTTGCTGGACAACAGATAAGTCACCCTTACCAGCAACATCTTCATTGCTGGTACAGTTTTGATCACTAATTTTTCATCTGGAACAAATGAATATAACATTGGGAAGATTTTATGCATGCAGGTCCTTGTTCAAATTCCATACAGGAGCTTTTGGAACAACACCATCACTCAAGATCCCACTGCCATTATCCACGCTAATCAGTGGATCAGATTCACTTTCCTTAACCTGCATCATTCAAGAAAGAGGAGAATAGGTCAACAAATATTCCCAGACATCAGGGCAAACAAGGATCACATCTAACAATTTGGTAGGCAAGGTCATTAAAACCACCCACATGGACATGCAAAGAATTACCTGTGACAGTTCTGCTGATATGTCACTAGCCTTCTGCTGCCGGTTCTCAACAGTGCAATAACATGAATAAAGGACCATTCCAAATACAGCAATCAAGATCCCCAAAATGTTGCGCCAGCTAAATGGATCATGAACTAGAACATAACCGAAGGCCAAAACAAGGCATGTTTTCAGATGTCCTAGGACCTGGTAGGTGACTGGTGATGTCTTTCCAATTACCAGAAATGTACTAAAGTTGACAGAGACAGATATCAGGCAGGACAGAACAATGAAGAACTGCAACAAGATTGCACATAGAAACAATTAGAATTGAATAAATATAAGAAAATTATACTGCTACCATATTTCTCTCTCTCTCTCTCTCTCTCTCTCTCTCTCTTTTTTTTTTTTTTTATGTGGGGAGGGGGGTTGTTTGGAATATGTCAGCAATGATTTCTTACCAGCACTTGCGGGGTATACTTGAAAGCAAAAACATTCTGGTTAGTCAAAAGCCCATCCAGGAATGGGCCAATAATGAACAAAGTTATCGCCTGATAAGGGCAAGACTGGTAGAGAAGTTGGGTTGAAGATACTTTGAACTTCTTCTGAATGGTATTAGTCATCTAAGAGGAATGAGTTAAGAACTTAAACAACTAAGAGAATTTTGTACTTAGATCAAGAAAAACCTATTCTTGCAGCTCAAATTTAACAATTCATTTATTGTTCCTAAACATGGAAACAATGACGGAAATAAAACATGAAAAGAATGGCAAATATCACTCCAGCTAAGGATACAATTTGAGCTATGCATGTAGTAACAACTGCCAGCAGAGAAAGGATCGAACCCAGGAGATTGAGCTGAAGATCAGTCACAGTTGCAACTCCAACACCCAAAAGAAGAATGGCCAATGAAAGCTGGATGTTCCTACTGCAATAGCATTTAGGTGTATCAAAAATACAGCCATAACCAATAAATTACCACTCCAAAATAATAGCAGGTATAAACTACAAATAAACCTAAAACCACTAGCAAATTACAGCACAAAACCAGTAAAAATTTCAACTGGGAGGGTACAGAAATAGAAGAAATTTTGGATTGTAGCAGATAAAAAACTAACCCCAAACCAGAAATTCAAGTGTTTATAAGCACAGAAGGTCTTTATCATCCTCTGATGGTAAGAGGAGGAATTGCAATTTTATCCTAACTTTAGCGTTTAGCACAGAAGGTCCTTATCAAGGCTTTCAATCCTTGCTTGTCAACAAGTGAGCATCAGAAAATGGCCCACAAGCGATCAATGCAATGTCTAGCCCCCTAAAAAAATCTATTCCTAATGTTTAACTCCAAAACCCACAGTTGTAAGAGGCCAAAATTATAAAAACATGAAAGATCATCTGTCATAAGAAGAAACAAGCATGCTCACAACTGACCTGAATTTCTTCCTGAAGAAAAAAGTCTCCAAAAGAACAGTACAGGGGATAATTGCCAGTTTTGTCATCTAAATACAAAACAAAACGACACAAATTTTCAGAAACTGGTTCTCCTAGTATGCTTGTAAAGTATAGGAAGAAGTGGTAAACTTTGAACTGGATAGACATGGAACTAACAGATTCCTTATCCCAAGATGCTGTCAGCAAACATATCATTCTGTACAAGTTATGTTGGAATCAGGCAAAACTTGGACATGACTTACATATGATTTAAGAGGATAATGACCTTAAAATAGAACTTTACCTGGTAGAAACCAACGGAATTGAATCCCAAACTAAGATTCAAAAGCCCAATGGATATTCCATTTAATATACCAAATCCCATAACAGCTCGGGCATCAAAAGGCTTGTGCTCAAACAATTTCATCCATAAGGCCACATGAAGAGAACAAAACGTGACCAGGAGATGCCAGCTTGTCAAAGTTGTGGCTGCAGCATCCAGACCAGAAATTAGCATAAATAATCAAGCAATAGACAGCAAGCAAAGACTAGAATTTCTGATGATGCTTTTTCAAATTAACCACATGTAATTACAATTTACAATAAACTATTAGCTTACATCTTATTTGGTCTTTAATTGATGACCATGTGATAGGAGTTATGAGATCTAAAGAACTTTTGAATTATCTTTTGTCCAAAATAGCATGCCACATCATATAATTAGCATCATGAAGTAATTCAAAGACACAAGTTGAGAAAAGTTTTTCTTATGAGAATGAAGGAATGAGAACATCATTTATGTTATTGTAGCTAAAAATGATGTAGCAATAATTTGACGTAACATACGAAGATTAGCAAGGTGAAGAGTCTATTACTGTCAATAAGCTAAAATCTAAAAGAAAAAAAATATATACAATGAGATCATAACAATTGAAAAGGTTAAGTCTGCCAGATAAATCCTTATAACTAAACTATTCTTTTTGAGCATATAATGTTATTGTATTTAAAATACAAAATCAGCTGACTTCATGCATTATATTATATATCAGCCATAAATCACTCGCAACAAATGAGGCATGGGATGGAAACAAGCTTGTCTCTTTTAATCAATTGTGAATTCATTCGATCATTTTGTCAGGAACATTTATGGTCACCAACCTGATCGATTTGTGCACTTAAGTGATGTTTACTAATAGAAATTGATTAGCAATCCCTCTTTAGTCAATGTCAATACTCATACAGATTCTGATTCTAATCACTTACTAACTCCTAACTTCTATTCAAGGGATTGATATTTCCTGAGCATATTTTCTAATGTGTGCACGTAAAGAAGCAGATCAATTCATAATTTCCGCATTAGCACACAAGACAGCTATTGAAGTCTATTCAACTTATAATTTTGGGACAGCTACTTATCATGACAATTTTGCTTAGAATACATATTCAACACCTTAAAATTTTCCAATTGAAAACAAAAACCATCTCTAGTTTCAGTGATCGGATCACATACTTGATAGAATAAATAAATGAGACAAGAAAGAAAATTAAGACAAAATGATATTTGACGGCATACATCCAGAAATCTAAGAGAAAAAAGGCCGGAATATGGAAGTGCCTAATTCTGGAGACGAATCAAAAGCAATAACACATCGTTAGGGAATCCATATAAACAATGAGTCCAGCAAATCGGAGAATAATTAATAACGATAAAGAAGAGGTTTAACAAAACTGACCAAACGTGAAACCTAGAGTGCTGATAAGAGCCTTGTTGCAAATAACAATGGACACCGAGGAGACCACTGATAAACTCAAAGAACCTATTGTCCCCAGCTGGAACTTGGGGTTCTCACTCATTTTTCCTTTTGAATTTTGTTCGTCAATCGTGATCCGGATCCACTTAATCTGCTAACGTTCTAGGTTAAATATAGTTAAAAAAAGAAGCACGTATTGAATACTCGTCCTAGCTTATTGGCGCTTAAATTAGCGAAAATTGTTGAAAATCAAAGGTCGGAGCTGCAGGAATGAGAATGCGGAAGCGGCAAACAAGAAAAAATGAGAAAAGAAAAATGAATATAGAAATTAGAGCATCAAAGAACCCTAGAGCTGCTGCATTAAAAGAAGGATGAGAGAGAGAAACCTTAGAGTCGGAGAGTCTGAAAGAAAAAAGGAAATCTGGGAAAGAAGGACAGTTGCATATGAATCTGTCGGTAATGATACGTTTCCTTTTTTTTAATTACCAGTGTGGAAGAACCTTTAATTATAATAATTATTGCATTTACTTATAATATATTATTAAATAATTAATTAAAAATTCAATAATTAAAATATAATTAAAAATTAAATCTTCAAATAATAAAATTATTATTATTATTATTTTTACAACTGAATCAAAACCTGTTGGCTGGCCTTTTTTTAATTTAAAACAAAAAATAAATAAGTAGCAGTAGTAATACAGAAAATGAAAATGACACGGCCACGTTTCTCGCCCGATAATTTTGGAATTATACAGAAACCGGGCCGGGGTTGCTATTTCTTTTTCTTTTGCTTCAGTGATGTCCTACATGACGTAAACCTAAATTAAACAATTAATATTTGCTGATGTGTCCGTCTGTCTGTCACGTTACCCTTTGGTTGTAAGTAATTTGAATTTGACCGCAGGGTTAGGAAAATCGTAGACTTTCTACCAGTAATTTTCTAGATTTTTGTTATTTTGTTTCGTGCACTACTGCCAGTAAATTCAATTGTTTTTGACTTTCTTATCTGGCAAACATAAATGAAATTCAAGACAAGATGTTGCCAAAAGTGAGATTCCCTTCTATGGATGGTAAATATACCGAATCCATCAGGTTTCACCTAGATTCAATCGATGTTTTGAAAGTTAAATTTTGAATTCAATTGAGTTAAATTTAAAATCGAATTTTAAATAAATTTATCTCAATCAAGTTCAATATATATTTATAAAAAATATTTTTTATTATTTATTTAATTATATATATTTATATATATTATATTAATAAAATTATTATTTATTATTTTAATTTAATATATTAATTTAATAAAAATATTATATTTATATATAATAAAAATATAATTTATATTAAAAAATAATATTTTATAAATATTATACTAAGTTAAAATTATTAAATTAATTTAAGATTAGATCGGATTGATTATTGTTTTATACATATGCGAGTCGAGTCGAATATAAAAAATAATATTTTAATAACAGATTAGGTCCAAATTGGATATATATTTTATGAAGTCAGATTAGAGTTAGAGAGAATAGAAATCTATCTTGATTTATCGTGTTGCCATCACCATTCCCTTCACATTATTTTACCTATGGTACATTTTTTTCCCTCTTTCAATTCGCTCTTTATATTAAGGAGTTGAGAAAATGATTTTCAGCAAGTAAGGCATGTTTTGTGGGAACAATTCATATTAGTTATTACTTAAAATATAACTATATTTGTTGTCCGCAAATTAACCATTATGCAATTTATAATAGATAAATGCTCAAACAATGCAAAACATGTATATAGTGTGCATCATTTTCTTCATTAACACCTATAAATATCATTTTCTGTATGAGTATTGACATTAACTAAGGAGGATAAGATAGGGTTGAGGGTTGAAGGTTTGGGGTTTGGCATTTGGCTTTCAGGGTTCGGGGTTCAGGGTTCAGGGTTCGATGTTCAAGGGTTCAGGGTTTAGGTTCCAAGGTTTAAGTTCGGGTTCAGGTTTTGGGTTTTGAGTTTCAGGTTTCAGGGTTAAAAGTTAAAGGTTAAGGGTTAAGGGTTAAGGGTTAAGGGTTCAGGGTTTAGGATTTAGGGTTTAGGGTTTTAGGGTTTAGGGGTTAGGGATCAGTGGTCAGGGTTTAGGGTTTAGGGTATCATGCCTCGAGACCAAGACGCAACACAGTTATATTACCTTGAAGTAAATCCCAAAGTAATACTAAGCTTTCTTTTTTAATCATTATAAAATTTTTCAATAAACTGATATAGTCTGCCTAGTAAAATTCATATTTTTAATTTAATTAATGATACATCTCTAAATATCCAAATACAAATAATATAAAATACTAAATCGTTTCATAAGATTTCATTGGCCAACATTGTCTCCGATGACTAAGTAATCTTTTTCATTTGATCTTTTAGCTTTCACAAAACTAAGTAAACTTATCACTTACTCATCTATAAAGAAAACGTAAAAAGGGAATTAGCAAACCACAGCTCAAAAAGTATAGGCTCACACACCTTACTGGATCAATCATCGATTTCATATATATCATATAGATCATTCAAAATATTTGTCTGATCATAATGTCAAAATATTTCAAAGATCATCGTTTTGTCAAACATTTCGCAAATTCATAAATCAATGTAAAAATATGTCAATTCAAAAATCATTGCAAAATATGCTACCATTCAAATATCATAATCAAACCAAATCATGGATCAATCATTAAAAATTGATGATTATTGAATGGAGTTTAAAGGCTGAAAGTTTAGGGTTTGGGTATGCGCTAATACCTGCATTACATTTTTGTGGGGGAAGCACCCCAAGGCTAAGTCGTTCAAAGATCTAAAAGTAATCATCAATTATAGGCATTAATTAGGGTTTAGAGGATAAGGTTTAGAGGTTAGAGGTTAGGAGCCAAGGTTTAGGGTTTAGGGTTATGGGTTAGGGTTAGGGGTTAGGGGTTAGGGATTAGGGGTTGGGGTTTTAGGGTTTGGGGTTGGGGGTTGAGGGTTTGAGGTTTGAGGGTTGAGGGTTAAGGGTTGAAAGTTTAGGGTTTAGGGCTCGAGGCTTGGGTTTCGGGTTTAGGGTTTTAGATTTGAGGTTTGAGGTTTAAAGTTTTAGGGGTTATGGGGTTTAGGGTGCGGGGTCTGGGGTTTAAGGTTTAGGGGTTAGGGGTTAGGGTTCAGGGGTCAGGTGCAGGGTTCAGGGTTAGGGTTCAGGGTTGAAGGTTCAGTGTTTAAGGTTTAGGGTTTAGGGTTTAGGGTTTGGGGTTTAAAGGTTTCAGGTCAAAATGATTTAAACTAGATAATAGTTTTAATAGTCTTAACTATTTGAATTAGCTCAATAAACACATTTATTGTTTAAATATCTTATCAATTTTTATTATATTATTAATTTAGCAATATTTGTCTCCAAATAATCTTGTATGAATAAAAACAATTATTTTATGACAAAACAAAAATTATAATGATTTAAGATAGATAATTGTTCAAATAGTCATAATTATTTAAATTGATTCAAAAAAAGATTTAGTTTTTAAATTTCTTATTAATTTTTAAAATATTAATAAATTAATATTATTTTATTTTGAATAATTTTATATGAATAGAAACAATTGTTTTACAACAAAAAAGTCATAACGATTTAAAATAAAGAATAATTCAAATGGACATGACTATTTTAATTTGTTTGGTGAAAAAATTTATTTTTTAAATCTCCAACTTATTAACTTTTAGAATATTAATAAATTAATATTATTTTATTTCGAATAAGTTTGTATGAATAGAGGCAATTGTTTTATGACAAAATAAAATATCATAACGATTTAAAATAAATAATTATTCAAATAATCATAACTATTTGAACTCACTCGGTAAACAAATTTATTTTTTAAATCTTTTACATATTAATTTTTAAATTTTTAATAAATTAGTATTATTTTATTTTGAATAAGTTTTTATGAACAGAAACAATTGGTTTATGACAAAATAAATTGTCATAACGATTTGAAATAGATAATTGTTCAAATCGTTATAACTATTTGAAAGTGTCAAGAAAACAGATTTATTTTTAAAATTTTTATTGATTACTTTTTAGAATATTAATAAATTTTTGTTATTTTATTCAAAATAAGCTTGCATGAACAAAAACAATTATTTTGTGACAAAACAAAAGGTCATAATGTTTTAAAATAGATAATTGTTTAGATAGTCATTGCTATTTGAACATGATTGGTAAATAGATTTATTTTTTAATTCTCTTACTCATTAATTTTTGGAATATTAATAAATTAGTATTATTTTATTTCAAATAAGCTTATTTGAACTAAAACAATTGTTTTATTACAAAATAAAAGATCATAATGATTTGAAATAGTTAGTTATTCAAATTGTCATAACCATTTTAACTTGTTTGGTAAACATATGTTTTTTTTAAATCTTTTACTTATTAATTGTCAAAAAATTAATAAATTAATATTATTTTAATCCAAATAACCTTGTATGAACAGAAACAATTGTTTTATGATAAAATAAAAAGTCATAAAATTTGAAATAAATAATTATTCAAATAGTCATAACAATTTGAACTAGTTCAATAAACAAATTTATTTTTTAAATTTTTTACTATTTAATTGTCTTGATATTAATAAATTTATATTATTTTATTCAAAATAAGCCTATATGAACCAAAAAAAATTATTTTATGATGAAACAAAAGTTTATAGTGATTTCAAATAAATAATTGCTCAAATTATCATAATTATTTAAACTTATCCTATAAACAAATTCATTTTTTTAAATCTTTTAATTATTAATTTTCAAAATATTGATAAATTGGTATTTTTTTTATTTTGAATAAACTTATATGAACTGAAACAATTCTTTTATGATAAAACAAAAGGTCATAATGATTTAAAATAAATAATTATTCAAATAGTCATGACTAATTGATCTAGTTAGATAAACATATTTATTTTTTGCATTTTTTATTACTAATTGTCAAAATATTAATAAATTAGTATTATTTTAATTCGAATAAGCTTGTATGAACAGAAACAATTGTTTTATAATAGAACAAAAAGTCATAACGGTTTGAAATAAATAATTGGTTAAATAGTCATAACAATTTGAACTAATTTGATAATTAGATATATTTTTTAAATCTCTTATTAGTTTTCAAAATATTAATAGATTAGTATTACTTTATTCCAAACAAACTTATATGAACAAAAACATTTATTTTATGACAAAATAAAAGGTCATAACGATTTAAAATAAATAATTATTAAAATAATCATAATTATTTGAATTGGTTAGGTAAAATTTTTTTTAAATCTCTTATTAATTTTTGAAATATTAATAAATTCATTTTGTTAGAAAACAAATTTATTTTTTTAAATCTCTTATTAATTTTTGAAACATTAATAAATTAGTATTATTTTATTTCGAATAAGCTTGTGTGATGAAAAATAATTATTTT